AAAATTAGTCAGGTGTGTTGGCGAGTGCCTGTACTAGCTACTCAGGAGGCTGAGGAAAGAGAATCACTTGAGCTTAGGAGTTTAAGGTTGTAGTGAGGTATGACGATGCCACTGCATTCCAGCTCAGGTGACAGTGAGATTTTGTCTTAAAAAAAAAAAAATTAAAAACAAAGCAAAAAAGGACCTCTGTGATTATATTGGGCCTACCAGATAATCCATAATATTCTCCCCATTTCAAGATCCTTAACTTAGTCACATGACAAAGTTTCTTTTGCCATATAAGGTAATATATTCACAGTTTCTGAAGATTAGGATATGGACACCTCTGGGTGTCATTATTCTACTGACCATAGTCTACAAACTGCATATGAGAGACAAATGACTTATTCTTCTTCTCTAGACCAGATTAATAAAGTATTCTGATAAAAGAGAATATATTCCTTTTAGTAAAACATTTATTTATGATTCGTTCCCGTATACCTCTATACCAATATGTTAAATACATTTTGAAATACATCCTCCCCAGAAGTATTTAAAGGATGATATTTAAACAAATATAAATGGAAGATATCATTTTCCCCATACCCGGTGGATGGCCTAACCCACTCACGATGGGCACCGAGCGCATTTTAGAGACCTCTGTTCTGGACCATCCTTTTTCTAGATTCAATGCAAGTCACTGTCCTGCACATTCCTTCCTATAGTTGGTAGGACATGCTATTTATATGGTGCAATGTGCTTGAGCTTTGGTATATAGAAGCATAGGTTTTTTTTGTTTTGTTTTGTTTTTTTGAGAAAGAGTCTCACTCTGTTGCCTGGCTAGAGTGCCGTGGCGTCAGCCTAGCTCACAGCAACCTCAAACTCCTGGGCTCAAGTGATCCTCCTGCCTCAGCCTCCCGAGTAGCTGGGACTACAGGCATGTGCCACCATGCCCAGCTAATTTTTTCTATATATTTTTAGTTTTCCAATTAATTTCTTTCTATTTTTAGTACAGACAAGATCTTGCTCTTGCTCAGGCTGGTTTCGAACTCCTAACCTTGAGTGATTCTCCTGCCTCAGCCTCCCAGAGTGCTAGGATTACAGGCATGAGCCACCGCGCCTGGCCAAGCATAGATATTGACGGCAGACCAACAGGTTCAGATCCCAGCTCTACCACTGCAACCTGCTAACCTCCATCACATTGCTCCACCGTAATGGGCCTCAGTTTTTTCATTGGCAGTGCGGGGTACTCATGAGGATTAAATGTCCAGTGGAATGTTAGCAACAAGAGGACATTAGATTAACACTCTTTCGAGTTTAGTGCTAGAGCCTTTCATTGCATTTAGTCTTCCTGCTTATACTCAGCACCCATTTCCTGACATTTTCTGAGGTTGGTTCCCCCCACTGAAGGCCACTTTCATCCTTTGCATGTTGATGTTTTTGAATTTAGTTCCTAGGGCGCTGCTGTACGCAAAGTGCCATAAACTTACAAAAACAGACATTTATTCTTTATCAGTTCTAGGAAGCTAGAAGTCTGAAATCAAGAGGTTGGCAGGGCCACACTCTTTCTGAAGGTTCTAGAGGAGAATCCTGCCTTGTCTCGTCCTGGGTTTGGGTGCCCCAGGGATTCCTTGGCTTATGGTAGCATTGCCACCCCTGTGTTCACGTGGGCTTCCCTGCGTGTGTCTCTCTGTCCCTTTCTCTCTTTACAAGGATGCTGATCATTGGATTTAGGGCCTATCCTAAACCTAAGATGATTTCATCTCGAGATTTTAATTAATTACATGTTGAAAGACCCCATTTCTCAGTAAAGTTACATGATTTTGGGACGGGGGGTGGGGGAGGGTTACTATTCAACCAACTATAATTAATTCCCCTCCTGCAGAACTGCTTTACTGTTAATAGCAAGTTCTGGGAGGCTCTTGCCTTTGTCTGGATGGACTTGTGTTGGAGCTCAGTGCCTTGAGAATTTAAGGGCCAAGGGAACATAGACGACACAGCAACCAGTAATCCTGCCCCATCTAACCCCATTCGCTAACCCCCAGCGTGGCTACTTTTCACAAGGAAGAAAAATCGCCATCGACGTGTGCTTGGTGTTGCTATTCCATGCACGATGCTCTAGCCCCTGGAGAGCTTCCCGTTTGGGCTTTTGGCATTTTCTGAAGAAGAACAAGAAAAAAAAAAAAAAGAAAAGTACTGTTTGGTATCACGCAGCAGTGTTTGTGTTTGCAAAGTGCCTCTCCCATTAGACACTTCCAATTTAAAATACAGATTAGCTCTGACAAAACTGACCCGGGCTGGCTTTTCCCTTTGATGGCTTCAATTTCAGGCTTATCCATCACAAATGATTGTAACACAACAGGATTTTGACAGAACAGGGGTAGCAGTTTTGAATTCTTACCTGCAATTTCCGGCTCTGGGGGATAATAGCAGAGAGAAAAATAACAACAATAACTTAGTTCTAGGATATGAAAACATGCTGAATTTCCCCTTTGGTTTTTATGCTCCGAGGCATTCAACAAGTTCCTCTCCATGATGAACCAAATAAGCTCTCCAGTACCAAATTAAGAGCCTTACAAAACCTCACACATTTCTCCTTCTGCCTTAAGTAAAAAGGAGGCATGAAAGAAAATTTAATGATCAATTTCAGTAATTATTTCAGTAATTTCAGATCAATTTCAGTAATTATTAGCTTAGATGTTTGTTACATTCAGGCTCTCTCTAAGTTCTATTTCTAAGATTTTATTGTACCGATGACTTTATATCCCTCCTGGACAATTTTTCCCTGTCCTGATCTCTTTGATCATTTCTTCTTCTTCCTTTTTTTTTTTTTTTTTTAATTTTTCCTGCTCCTGCACCTCCTCTGCCCACCTCTTAATAGGGATGTTTCTCAGGGTTCCTGGTCTTCTCTCTGCACAGGCAGCCCTTGGATTTCCTATACACTCTGAGGATCTTAACTGCTCTCTGGATACCGATGACTCCCAAATCAGTACGGCCAACTGCACCCTTTCCCTGACTTGGATTCAGCTGCAAACATATGAAATGTTTGTTAGGGGAATAGTGTTTGCCTGTGTCTCACAGGAGCCTTAAACTCAGTGACTTTAACTGTGAGCCCATCACCTTCCTGCCCCGGACTTACACTGCTCTCCTCCCCCGTTCCCGGTCTTAGTGGACAGTTCAGGCAATGGCCTCGCGTCTCGAGTAGGAGCTGGGTTATCTAACACTCTCCTCTCTTTCTCGGCCTCACAGTCAACGTGCATGTACTGTTGACCTCCCTTCGAAGCATTTCTGAGTCTGTTTCTCTTCATTTTTGCTAGCTCTGAATTTCAGACCTGGAATCAGATGATAACTTTCTTTCTTTCTTTCTTTCTTTCTTTTTTTTTTTTTTTTCTGAGACAGAATCTCACTCTGTTGCCCAGGCTAGAGTGCTGTGGCATCAGCCTAGCTCACAGCAACCTCAAACTCCTGGGCTCAAGTGATCCTCCTGCTTCAGCCTCCCGAGTAGCTGGGACTATAGGGATATGCCACCATGCCCGGCTAATTTATATATATATTTAGTTGTCCAGCTAATTTCTTTCTATTTTTTTAGAAGAGATGGGGTACCACTCTTGCTGAGGCTGGTCTCGAACTCCTGAGTTCAAATGATCCTCCTGACTCAGCCTCCCAGAGTGCTAGGATTACAGGCGTGAGCCATCGTGCCCGGCCCGGATGATAACTTTCATCTTGGCTACTGCCTTACCCTTCCCCCTGGATCATGCTGAAACACTTCTGTGGTTTCCTACTGCCTACAGAATCCAACAGAGACTTCCAGAATGAAGCAAATGCCCTCTGTGACTGTTTCTTGCCCACATCAGTCTCACCTCCTGCCACTCCCTCCCCTCATTTCACACCTTTACAGGTGCCCCGTTGACCTGCTGTTTCTTGTTTCCAGAGATTCGCTGTTGCCAATGCCGTCCTGTCTACCTGAAACGCCATCGCCACCGTTCTCTGCCTGGCTCATTCTTACATGACCCTAACTCAGCTCCGGTGTTATTCCTTCAACAGACACTTATTGAGCACCAAGTATGTGCCGAGCAGTGTTGGGGACCCAGTGGTGAACAGGCGGACAGGGACTCTGTCTTCGTGGAGCTTTATTCTAATAAAACTTTCACCGAATGACACAAGACGTTGGGCCAGATGCCCCTCCCTCTTCCCACCTCCCCAGCAAGCTGTGCACACTCCCTCACTACCCTGGGTCTGTTAGGCTGAAATGATCATCCAGTCTCTCTTCCCTAATGTCCCGTCAAGTTCTTGAGGCTAGGGGCATTCCATATTCATCCCAGCAGTCTCAGTGTCTAGAACAGTCCTTAGCACTTGGCAGATTCTCAGTACGGTTCCCTCGCAACTCCACTATAGTTTGTCAATAAATGACTCCATGTCTCAGCTTAAGCTTCCCATTCTCAGAGAAGTTTTCCTTAGCCCTCCAGAACAATCCAGCCATCCTCATGATATGCCCCTATCATATTCTGTACTATTTCTTCCCGGCATGTTGTGCTCATTCTGTAATTATTTTTTTTTTTGGCTATTTATATTCTTTGTTTAAATTTGATTTTTCTGCACTAAGATGTAAATTTATGAGGTCCATGGTACAGCCAGCATACTGCATGGCCTAGAATAAGTGCTCAATAAATATCTGTTAACTGAAGGAGTAACAAATTTTCTGGCTGAGTAAAAATCCCAAATGCATTGCTGGAACCTACAGAAAAATTATAGCCAATTGCCTGCTGGTCCAATGTCTCTACCCATCTATAAGATGGAGATGTTCCTATGGGATAATGTTGTATAGCAGATGAACTTTACATTAAAACCATATCAAGACTAATGTGCATAAATAAATTAAACAAAAAAAATAGAAAGATGAGATTAAGGAATTAAACACATTAGCTGGAATTCCGGACAGGCTTTCAAATATTTCTTTCAGAATGTGGTATATTATTCTCCCACAGGACATATAACCATTTTCTTTTCTTTTTCCTTCCCAGAATCTGAGATGACAACTGCGCAAAACGAAACACGGGTACGAGAATCTGTAAGTATCTGAAGTATATAACTTAGATTTAAAAAATCCACAGCAGAGGTTTGCAGAGATGGGCTGGGGAGAGCAGGATGTTGCCAAGTGGTGAACTGCATCACAGCTGTTATGAAATAGCTAAAGAATCTGTGGACTTGTACTCTTGGCAGACATAGCATTGATCATTACTTCGGTATGTGCAGATGCTTTTGAAAAGCAAAAAGGAAAAAAAAAATACCACACAAAAAAAATGCAAAATCCTGGCCAGGCGCGGTGGCTCACACCTGTAATCCTAGCACTGTGGGAGGCCAAGGCAGGCGGATCGTTTGAGTTCAGGAGTTCGAAACCAACCTGAGCAAGAGCGAGACTCCGTCTCTACTATAAATAGAAAGAAATTAATTGGCCAACTAATATATATAGAAAAACTTAGCCAGGCATGGTGGCGCATGCCTGTAGTCCCAGCTACTTGGGAGGCTGAGGCAGGAGGATCACCTGAGCCCAGGAGTTTGAGGTTGCTGTGAGCTAGGCTGACGTCACGGCACCCACTCTAGCCTGGGCAACAAAGTGAGACTCTGTCTCAAAAAAAAAAAAAAAAAATGCAAAATCCTCATGTGTTACTTCTTTGTGGCCCGGGATTAATGACATACGGTAGAATCAACACCTGCCACGAGTGTTCCTCTCATTGTCTGCCGGTACCCTTCACTTATTTTTATTATTTCAGTAAAAACTGGGGTCAATACAAATGTCTATAAAAGAAAAGTGAAGGTTCCCTATTCCCTTTTTCTTCTTCCCCCATCTCTGTCCTCACAGGCAATCTGTTGTCCTACCCTGGCCACTGTCCCCACTGCTTCCAGGATTCTGTGTGTTGGAGAATGGATCAGGGAGGGGAGAGAGGAGAGCCCAGTCAATGGAGATGGCATAGTTCCTGCAAGAGGCCTCCATGCTTGCCCAAAGAGAGACACTTTCCAAACTTTATTGTTGTCAAGGCCCCTTCAAACTCTTAACACTCAGTTTCTTAAAACTGAGAAACTTTAACACATTTATTCATTCATTTAAAACCAAGCATAACAAATCCATTGCATGTTAACATAAAGAACATACATTTTATGACAACTATTTTCCCAGATGAAAAAGAAAATTAGTGAGAAAAAAAATGGCATTGTTCTACATTTTTGCCAATGTTATATTACTGTCTGGCTTAATAGGTGACAGAGGGATGCTTCACATCTGCTTTACAAATTCTGTATAAGTGAGAACAATGACATCATCACATGTCACATCCACTAAGGGAAACCCTACTGTACCTCTCGTTAAGAGAGTGACAGTGGAAATGGCGAAAATATCTCATGAAAACCATTTTGATCTCATGCCCTCCCTGGACCAGACTGTGAGAACCAATGCTGTAGAAAATACAAAATTGAGCTCCATTTTCTTTTTAATCTTGTTTCCTCCAGAAACCTAAGTCAGGCATGAAAAGAGCTGCACAGGGTTAGGGAGAGCTCAAAGGATTTAGGCAGTGGCCAGGAAAGAGATTTGACGGCGGCAAACACAGCTCACCACACAGTCATTTCGAATCTTCAGACCCCCGAGCCTCCCAGCCTTCTAGGCCTGATGTCTAAGACTTAGGAAAATTTGGGGATATGCGTAAAATGTTTTCGGTTTTCAGCGATTTATGGAAAAGTTGCTGATTTGTAAAGCTGGCTTTGTTTTGATATTGAGACACACTGGGCAGAAGGTGCTGGAATGTGGCGAAGCTGTTGCTGATTGGATGGTGGTGTTGGGGTGGGCTGTGGTCCTGCAGTGATGACGTCAAGCAATGACCAGGCCAATGGCCTTGCCTGTGTCTCACCAGGTGATGGGAACGCCCAACTTCAACAACCTGATGATAATCATCGCGTCCTCCTTGGGGTTTGTGCTGTTGGCGCTGCTCCTGACCTTTCTCCTGAGAGGTAAGGAGAACCCTGGGGACTCCAGGAGGATCTGGGAGTGGGTGGTTTCTGCTTCCTTCCCCTTCCTCACCTTCCCATAGAGACTCAATTCTATCACTGTCCCCATCCCAGTCAGTAAGATCTTAGGGAAACTCATTCTCCATAAGGTGCTCATGGCTTTGTCCATTATCCTCCAAAATGCAGAGTTTACATTTTGGAAAAGAAAAAAAAATATAATAAGAGCGCCCTCATTTCTTGGAAACATATTCTGTGCCAGTCGTGAAGCTATACTCTTTTTTTTTTTCTTTCTCACTGTGTTGCCCGGGCTAGGTATCAGCCTAGCTCACAACAACCTTAAACTCCTGGGCTCAAGCAATTCTCCTGCCTCAGCCTCCCGAGTAGCTGGGACAACAGGCATGCACTGCCATGCCTGGCTAATTTTTTCTATATATGTTTAGTTGTCCAATTAATTTCTTTCTATTTTTACTAGAGATGGTCTCACTCTTGCTCAGGCTGGTCTCGAACTCCTGACCTTGAGCGATCCGCCTGCCTCAGCGTGAGCCACCGTGCCCAGCCTGAAGCTATACTCTTGATTTGCCTAACTCATTTCATCCTTATTACTGGCTTCAGTAGAAAGTACTATGAATATCACTGCCCTAGTGCTAAGAAAATGCTGGCCTGCCTCTTCTTTTGGCTAGGAGCGTCCCAGGAAGAAAACCATGAATCGTTCGGGTCTACTTATGTGTTCTCTGAAAGCAAGTTTTCTTAAGCTAGGGGCTACAGATGGATTTCAGAGGAGCTAGGAATACCTTGAAAGTGTGTGTAAAAGTGCTTATATGTTTATGCCTGTATTTTTCAGGGGACAGGGACCATAGTTTCTATTAAATTCTCAATCTGTTCCATGACCTTGTACCTCTGCCACCCAAGAAAGTTTTAAAGCACTACAGTTTTAAAGCACTACAGAAAGGAGCCAGGAAACAGGATTCACAGTTTTCATGCAAAGTCTAGGCTCATGGCACCTGGTACTATTGCAAAATGGAGAGAAATGGTCTGTAGTCATTAACAAAAGCTGTTTCAGGGCAGTCAGTCCGATCAGACTAGTAACCCTCTCAGCTGGTTTGAACAATCGTGAAACTTGTATATTTCAACACCTGTCCCCGGTGAAATTGCAAGAGGGAATTTAGAGGGGCTAACTGCTATTAGCCCTCATATAAAGGTTACAGTTTTGGAAAATACTGGGTATGTCTCATAAAGAAGTGTTTTAAAGCCCAAGTGAATACTTGAATTTTGGATAAGCAAACGACTCAAAATGAAACAGCTTCACATCATTGTCCACAGCGTTGGAACAACTTTGAAATTGTTGGGCACTGACTGGGTCCTTAAAAAAGCAAGCATTTGACCTGGGAGAAGGTATGGCTTACCCTGCCAATGCCAGTCCCTACCCCTCATCCTTTGCCCGTGCACTTTCCATGTTCTATCTACCATAGCTACTGTGCTCACACTGTGGCCTTGTCTTTTCAGGGAAAGTCATGGAAACCAATTGTTCGCAGAAACACACAAGGTAATTTATCTTGCATGGATGATTGTTGTAATGATTGTACAAGCTGTTACAAATGATTAGCTACTACTCAGTGGTTTAATGACTTGTGCTTGTGTTCTGATTAAGAACAGGGTGGGAAAGATGTGACATTAGAGGTGAAAAAGTTGTGTAGATTTAGCTTACATTAACCCCTATCTGTATTCACACTGCATGAGCAAAATGCACATACAAAGGCAGGTGGCATTAATAGAGGTATGGCATGCAAAAGAAAGAAGGTGATATGTCACTCTGTGCTGGAAATTCGTTGCTTAACTCTGGGTGACTCACTTTAAGAGGACATCGTTAAATTGGAGTTCATTAAGAGGAGAGTTGGCAGTATGGAAAATGAAAAAAAAACACATAGAATATTATTCCTGGGATTTTGTTCCTCTGCCCAATCAGACCATGGGAGCAGCTTTTTTGTGTTTTGGGTTTTTTAAAAAAATACTATTTGAGCATTCCCTAGTAAGGGATTTTGGATATCTGCCTTATTCTATAGCTTTTTGGGAAAGAAAGAAAAAGATTTGGTGTAAGCCGTTAATGCCTTGACTTCACTAATTGTATCAATGCAATCATATTTATTTACAAATAAATATTCATAAGTAAGAAAACCAAGGCCCTGCAAGGTGAATTTCCAAGATCATACTTGGAGACCTTTTGGTAAATAAATGCATTTAGATCATAATTTGATAGTTTGCTGACGAACTTTTTAATCTCCTCATTATAATAGATTAGCAGAAGCCCTTTATCCCTTGAAGCCTCAGTTTTCCCATCTGTAAAATGTGAAGCTTGGGCTAAAGGGATTGCGAGTCCTTTGAACTCAAGGGTAGTTGCATTATAACTTAGCAGCATCTGGGTTTTGGGGGGTTTGTTTTGTTTTGTTTTGTTTTGTTTTTTCTGGTCTTGCCCATCATCAGCACCTCTTTTCTGTTTCCAGGCTAGACGGTGCTGGGGAGTATAAAAATGTCCTCAATGACATGCAGCACGGACCGGAAGATGAAGATGGCCTTTTTACACTCTAATGTGCTACTTCTTAGCATGACAGGACGAGGGCATGACACTTGAAGTGTCAAAGTCAGTCTTAATATGTTTTGGGTTTTTTTTTTTAATATATAAAAGCCCTACCTGTTCCACAGATGTTATTGATCTAGTCTTGCTTTTGTTTTGCAAATGAAAGGTACTTTAGAGACCACACCTTCTCTGCCCATGCTTGCATTTTCTCTTTAGTATCACTGCTAAGTGATCTTTCACCAAGTACTTGAACACTTTCAGTGACGGTGAACTCATTACTCACACCCAAGGGAATCCACTCAATCTCAGGGCCGTTCTGAGATTAAGAGCTATGTAAAGCAAAATCGGTCTCCAGATACCATCTGCCTGTTGGTCCTAGTTGAACTCACTGTGCTCACACAGTACATGTTCAATCTCTCTCCAAGTACTGAAAGGAGAACCTGATGTGTCTCCAGATTTTCTTGCTTCTGGGACACCATTTCTGGTCCCTTCACTGCCCCAGGTGCCTTCATCTCGTTTGTGTTTGCGTCTCTCCTTTTATGGCCAGCTTTCAGAGCTCAGTGACCCGCTCTGGGTATGGCATGAGCAGCCCAGAGTCTATGCTTCATTAATAATGCAAGAAATGACATGGAATCACACCGTAATTGGCTCACTTCTGAAATTCCTAAATTTTCTATTATTTTCTTTTCACATTCGAGTGTCTTGAGAGGTGACCATAGTGTCACATCTTAATTCTTGCCTGGGGAATTTAATTTTGGAAATAGCTAAGAGTCCGTGGGAGCAAAATGTGGTGAATGACAGGGACATTCAACTAGGGGCAGTGTTTAGGCGTGATAGCAAGGCAATCCAGATATAAATATAATTCATGGAAATTTGCTCCTCACTAAGAACAGGTTTATTTTAAAACTTTAACAACTACTAGCATGAGGAACCCTGAGAGAGTGATTAAAGTAAACAGTGGTTGAATGAATGAATAGAAAATGCACGCCTGAGTGAGAGAGGCTTCTAGTTGGGCAGAAATGTGAAAAGTAAACCAGATCTGAGAGACATTTCTCCGAAGCTCTTCCCTGAACATTCAGAGCAATAGCAGCATTAGCAGGATAAACACACAGCCCTCAGGGGTAACCGTCTTTTGGATTTCTCCTCTCTTGATACTGCCTTTAAGAGAGAGAGAGAAAAAAAGTCTTATTACTTGACGGTGCAGCCTATAGATTCCTGCACTTGCCGTGTTAGTTCACGTACACTGATCCAGCCTTTAATAAAAATCCCCCATCACCTGGGCACTTGGGAAACACCTGGCCTGGGGCAACCTGCCTTCTGGATTATTCTGTTGCTGTTGGGCAGAATGATAGGTTTGGTTCAAGTGATAGAAACAGCTAGCAGCAGATTGGTAGCTGCTGCTTTGGCTTGCTTGGTTTGTTGGCTTGACTTGTTTGATGTTAGCTCAAGATACTGGAAATGACTTTGGTGTGCTGAACTCAAACATTTATTTAGAAACTGAATCTCGAGTCAGGCTCAGAGCCTCAATTGCCCCATCTGGAAAATGGAACGGAGCTAGGTGGCTTTGTGCGTGTAGTCAGGTTGCAGTATTTTGTGAGTCAGTGATACACCCCACCCTAACTCAGCTCATGCTCCTGATTCTTCTTCCAAAACAACCACCCCCATCACAGAACCCCCACCCCGCCAATGTCACTACCAATTGGGGTCTGAGTAAACAAAGAAGACAGGAAATACTTAAGAGAACATTTAAACTCAGTAAATATTTTTCTGTTTTATAAGGGGGCCATTTTCAGTCATTTCCCAAATATATTCCTGAAACTCCTTCCCCAGATAAGAAACATTGAGCGTCATAACTTTGTAGAACTGGTGACGGCCTCTGTCCTAGGAGTTCTCGATGTCAGCTAGCTGAACACTGCAGTCAACTGGGAAGCTTTTTTAAATGCCAATTCCTGAGTCCTACCCTTTAAGAGATTCTTTTGTAATTGGTCTGGGGTATGGCTTGTGCACCTGAGTTTTTAAAAAATGTCCCAAAGTGGTTCTAAAGTGTGGCTGAGGACTACAAATTGCAGCTCTAGCCTGGTAGTTCTCAAACTATCTATGTGCTTCAGACCAGAAGCCTCGGCCAGTCTGGAACTGGCTAGAAATGTCCATTCTTGGCCTCATTCTATACCTACTGAATCAGAAACTCCAAGGCAGAGCCCAGGAATCTGCGTTTTAACAAGCCCTCCAGGAGATTCTGATGCACGTTGGAATTTAGCTACTATTGCAGCCCAATAATTCCTAACAGGTGGGTTGAAATGTCAAGAAAAGGTTCTCCCTTTGCCAGGGCTGTAGGGTGACGGGGTTGGCCAGGGGTCAGGAGCTTCCAGTGCCAGTGGGATGAGGCCCTGTTGCATCTCCTCGTTGAAGCTGGTATCACTTCCTGCCTGGTCCCCTGCAGTTGCTTCCTAACTATAACCACCACCGTTACTCCTTTCCTGCTCTAACTGTCCATGCTATGGCAGAGACATCTTCTCTCAATGCAGAGCTCAGACTCTTGTCTCCTGACTTCCAGCCCTTTCCATCCTCTGCCCTTAGACCTTATCAAGAAGAAGCCTGAGGCAGGGGCCAGGGGCTGATGCAGCTGAGTAAGGCCTTGGGAGGTGATGTGGCCTGTGACAAATCAGAGTGTGTGAGCCCATGTAAAGGCATTGAGATTCAAAAGTAGTTAAAATACTGTCCTGAGCAAGTACATTAAACAAACATGGCTGTGAGCTAGAACAAGGCAGCCAGTTTGAGAGTGAGGGTAGGGGGTGGGTTTTATAAAATTTTGAATAAGTACATAATTCTTACACTGAGACTCCTTGATCAGAGGAGTTGTTAATGTATCCGTTCCTCTCCTTCCCTCTTTGTGTCATCAGGATGAATTGGTAGCCATCTACAAATAACTTTCTAGTATCTACTGTGTAGGGGGGCCTAGGAGAGAGAATTGTCTCCCTTAAGGAGCTCCAAATCAAAATGAGACAAAACTCACATGGGAAATACAAAGGAATGGGATCAATGTCTTTTTTTCCATTTCCACAAGGAAGGGCTTTGATGGAGTACATGGCTCTTAACAGCTGATGTTTTACCTGGGGGGTCCACAGTCAAACCTTGAGGATTGAAAACTGCCTCATTCTTCAACCTTGACCTCGGCCTTTCTAGGCTAAATAAAATAGACAAAATCCGATATGTAACGAGCACTTACTGTGTTCTGAGTATACTACGGAGTGTTTCAAGGCAATTATCTCGTTGAATCCTCAGGGTAGCAGCTGTATTATTCCTGCTTTGCAGGCTAAGAAAACAGAAGCAGAGGCAGGTGAAGGAACTTGCCCAGGGGCACATAGTCCAGTCTCCTGCAGCAGAGCCAGGTCTTGAACCAGGCCTGAAGGACTCCACACTCTCACCACTGGCCTGTACTGCACAGTGAGGGCTCTAGTTTAGATCATGCAGATGGCGCTTGGCCTTGGCCTTTGCATTGGACCCAAATGAATTTTAGTCTCCTCAGGTCCTGGCAACCTGAGTGCATGGATGGCTCTCCAATCCCAACCCCCTCAGAACTCCATCTTCCCTTGTCCCCCACGTATTATTTACTCAGAATCTGATTTGCATTTGCAGAGGAAACTGCAAGGGGAGAACCTGGCAGGAACCCTAATGAAGCCAGGTGGGACGCATTTAAATGGGAATGTGTTGAACTAACTCATAAAGAGCTGGAGCCAGCTGTCAGCGGGCTTAATGAAAGGTTAACAGGAATCCAGAAATGGGTGGCTGGGGAGATTCCTTTTCTCTCTAAAGAAAACAGAAAGTTGAGAAGTGAGCTCCCCGGGTGGAAGGGAGAGCAGAAGGAGGAAGCCACTTGAAACCAAAAGACTGGATCTGGAAATAGAGTTTCATTTAGATTTGTAAACATGTTATGGCTTTAAAAAAAAAAAAAAAAAGCACTGTGAGTTCTCAGTTCTCTGAGCATCAAAGGACAGGGAAGGGAAGTGTTCCCCGACTAAGATGAATGCTAATGCTATTCCGGAGTAGCTTGGGGAGCACTGGCAATAGTCGCTTGCAAAACAAAAGTTGGTTCATGCTCTGCTTGAGCTGAGAAGGTGCTGGTCTGCAGTTATATGCATTATCCATATATATATATATATGGGGTTTTATAGAGACAGGGTTTTGCTCTGCCGCCTAGGCTGGTGTGCAGAGGCATCATCATAGTTCACTGTAACCTCAAACTGCTGGGCTCAAGCAATCCTCCTGCCTCAGCCTCCTGAGTAGCTGGGACCACAGACACACATCACCACACCCAGCTAATCTTTTAAGTTTTTGTAGAGATGGGGTCTTGCTATGTTGCCTAGACGGGTCTCAAACTCCTGGCCTCAAGTGATCCTCCTACCTCGGCCTCCCAAAGCACTGTTTTCCATATTGTATATTGAATAGTGGGTGGGAGAGCAGGAAAGACCCTCACACATCTTTCAATTTAATTCCTGTTTTCCAGCTTAAGAAACTGAAGCCCAGAAAGGAGTTGCCCCAGGCTACACTGCAAAGCAATGCTAGAACAAGGACCTAGGCTGTGTCTCCTAGACTTGGCTCTGGGGCTATGTCATAAACTCAGACTCTTGGGTTTTCCAAAGTTCACCTGGACCTGCCTGACTGTTGCTCTTCTGGAGTCCCATCCAGTAAGTTCTTGCTGGGGCAGCCGTGCAGCTCAGCATTTCCTTTCCTTGAGCGGTCTTTCCCAGCACACCCCTCTCCTCCAGGAAGAGAAATTGGAATGTAGAAGTGCAAAGCTTGACTGCTCTGCTGTTCTCGTAATGCCACTGTAACTACGGTGTCCAGCTTATCTCAGTTTATCCCGAACATTCCCGGTTTTAAAACTTGAAGTCCTGCATGCTGAGAACCTCTCAGTCCCAGGCAAACAGGGATGGCTGGTGGACATAAGTCTGTAACTAGAGATCCAAGACAACCACCCTCTCAGTTCTTTGACTCATAGCTCCTGCTCTTGACTGCAGTGATCATTTTTCCTATGACTTTGCAGTTGGATCCAAGGGGAGTTTACTTAGTTCAGATCCAGTGTTAGAATAGAATACTACTAGATCTAGATTCTACACCCTTGCTGTTCAAAGGGGTGGGGCTCAGACCAGTGGTATTGTTGTCACCTGTGGGCTTGTTAGA